TAAGCAACTCATTGCTAGATTTTTTTTATTGATATATATTAATAATATATATAGTCCAAAATATAAGTGGATAGTATAAAATTGTTTGCGTATTTTGGAATGAATTAACTTGTAATGCAAATGTTTATATATATATTGGCACCTTAAATAAAGGACAAATTTGTACTCTGTATGTTGACTTTTCAAAATATATTTTAAGTAAAAATCAAATATTTTCTTTTTCTGTCTTGATAAGATAATAAATATTGTATTTGTTCAAAGCACATTTACTTCGTTAAGTATACTGTTTGTAATATAGAAGATTAACACATTCCAAAAATGCATAACTAATAGCTTGTTTTAACTTTTAATTATCATTTTAATTATGTCTTGTGTCAATTTTAGCTTTCTTGATATTTAAAAAACAAATTATTGTAAATTAAATTATTTACAAAAACATATTATATAAAAAGAAAGTCTAAAAGATTTATTTTAGTTCTATCTCATAACTTTCTCAAAAATTATTTGCACTATTTAAAAACAATTTAATCAACTATGAACTTCACTTTTTCTTTTTTTAATTCAAATTCAAAATTGATATAAATAATTAAATAATTCAAAGTGTTGTGTCTAACTGTTAAAAATGCAACTTTAAACTTTTATTTTGTGATAATTTAATTAAACATGAATTTGGTACTTAAGTAAATAGAAAGCAATTTCTTAAAAAGGCTAAGTATTTGTTTCTAATAAAAATAAAATGAACATTAAATAAGTTTCAAAACATCAACATACATAGACTTTCAATTTAACAGACAAAAAATTATCAGTCCTAAATGAAAATTTTATAACCTTTTTTTCTATTTGTGGATGGAACATGCTAAAACTGGTTCAATGAATCAATGTTTGTTATTAATGTATGTTTTTAAAACACATTTGATTTAATGTACTTTTGGCAATAGAGGAACTTTTTCCCTCCAATTAGTGAATTAAATCGAGGACCCACGCTATTTATAAAATGAGATCAACATTAGGACATTGAAAATATCAAATTTTTCTTAAAGACTATTCAGCTATTTCCAAATATGCAAAATAGATATATTTTTAAGAAATTTTTAACCAGTAAATTTATTATTATTAAGACATTTTACAGCCACTAAATGATTTTTTTTTAATAATTACAATTAGCTAAATAGAAAAAGTTCATATCGTTAACATTCTAATAGCATTTTCACTTGCATTAGAATACTTTTGAAAAAATCGTTTAATTTTTTTCCCCCTCTTTTTCTACTTTAAATATACAAACATGAAGAAGAATTTTCCATATCTACAATACATTTGTTTTTAAATTCTATCCACTTTTTAATTTATAAATATTCAAAAATATGTTTCATAAGACACACCATCTATTAATATAAAAACAATAAAGTACATAAAGTCACAAAAGAAAAACTTATAGATAAATAAATCTGTAAGGGATTACTTAGATCCGAGTAATATTTTATCATAGATTTCTATAAATACAAATAAAAATAAATTGATTATATACTAAAATATATGCTTAATATATATCAGAATATTAATTATTATTTATTAATATGCAATTATCAGTTTAAAATCATATAAATCAGTAACTAATGAAAACAGTAGATTTGCTTGTTTCTTCACTCCCACATTTTTTTGCTTTACTTGTCAAGAGTAACATATTGGCTGTGTTCAGCAGACTCAACAGTCGTAACCGAGCAAATCGGTAGCTGTTACATAGCAACCTGGATCTGCCAAACAACGAGCGACGACGTTGCATCAGAACAAAAAGCCTCATCGGATAGCGATAGGTAGCATAAACGAAAGACGCTACCAAATGACGTCGAAACACCAAACACATTCCAAAAGAACGATTATATTTTATTAATAGATTGGTTTAAAAATTCTATGTATGGAACTCCATACAACTTATGCTACCGTAGAGGACATTCGGCAGAAAAACACTCAACAGCTCCAGAACTATTGAGTCTGCCGAACACAGACTGAACAGTTGCAAAGACAGATTACCAACCATCACAGCCTGAAGGTGTAAACTAAGAATATTAAATTACTAGTTTCATCTTGTTTTTAATGCAATATTCTTGTTCATCTACTGTAAATATGTAAACTCAGTTAAACTGATTTATAGTTTTAATTAAAGCTTGAAAGATTTTATTATTATTATTATTATAAGAAAATATAAAAGCAAATACTTTATTAAACAAATAATAAATAAATATATTTAAGTAAAGCAATGTGCTAACTCAATGCTTTACACACATTCATTGATTAACATGGAGAAGAAAATGTCAGAAAAATCTTACATTTCTTTTCTTTTTCTACTTATCCTTAGCGGGAAATTTCGATAATATTTATCTAATTCTCGAAAAATATTCTAGCGGATATATTAAATAAATAGGAAAAACGAATTAAATAATAAATAAATAAAACGGGCTTCGTCTCACGCTTTGTGTGTTTATAGAAAGAAACAACTCCGACCTCTGGTGTTGAAAATTGTCAGTTCGTCTGCCACAAACATTTTTTTAATTAAAAATAATTATTTTTGTGAAAATTATTTAATCTTAATATTTTAATTGAAAATATGTTACAATTTATGGTATTTTGTATAATTGACGAATTTTTGTTCGATTCAAAAAGTGGGATAATGATCTACACATTCTACGATATCGGGTGGATGGCCGAGCAGTCAAGGTGACAGCCTACCGCTCTGGGGATCCGGAATCGAATTCGAAAAATCCCCAGAAATTTTTCGTCCGGATATGTTGGGCCCCGACCATCACCCGACCGCCTCACTATGGGCCTGAACGAACCCATAATGGGTTTGCTAAAAGAAGCCCTCTTAGCAGTGCCGGCCCGAGATAAGTTTTAGGATGGAGCAAGATCCTATTATGGCGCCTCCCTTGGTTGCCCTTAATTTATACCCTTTAATTTTCTTTACCACTGAGGCGCTCCCTAGGTCTTAGCATCTGGAGCGGCTGCTCCGTTCGCCCGATGATAGGGCCGGCTCTGCCTCTTAGTGCCCACAGGGCGGAAAGAGTTAAGAATAAATAAAAGCGGGTTTATAAATTCTGAGATCCGTTCGTATACAATATATAAAAAATACATTTATAATGCATCCACAGAGATGGCAGAAATGAAATTAATTACATGAAATAAGTAAATATATACGTAAAAGAAACATATAAATATATAACATCTTTATTTCGTATATGGACTTCATTTAATTACTTTGACAATTTACAGAACATTTTTCATTACAACAAACTTTCAGTTTAAAATCATTTTTTCGGAGGTCCCTCAAGTTTATTATAAGATAAATATAAAATCTATAAAAATCCACCCGAACAAATGTTTTACGTTTAAAAAAGAGGACATATCCGGGAAAAGAACATATACACAGTGGCGGAATTACAATGGCTCAAAATCATTCGACCGAACCAGACCCGAACGTATCAAGCAAAAAGCCTATGTACGATCAATGATCAAAATAATTGTTTCGATCAAAGGTTCGGATGATTCTTTTTCAGTCAAGGGCTAAAGGCTTTTTCGGAGGGGGGTGTAAGCCCAAGATCCTTTACGGTGAGATTGGGCCAGTATTAGAATTTCGAACTGTGACACATAAAACCTAGTTACAGTAACTTCATTGACTAATCCTGTATATATAAGAATGTAGTAAAGGATGTGGGTTATAAAATTATTAAAGAACTAGCTTACCAATCGCGCATTGCTGCGATCTCAGAAGAAAGGAAATTCAAGCAAACTCGTTATGATAAAATTAAATTTACATTTTATCACTTTCATTGAAACTTAATATTATTATTCATTTTCATCGGGAAAACATTTCAAAGTGTCGTTTCAACAGTGCCGGCCCGAGGCAAGTTTAAGGATGGAGCGAGATCCTATTATGGCCCCCTTGGTCAGTAGCGTAGCGAACATAACTGGCGCTCGGGGCACGACACTTTATTGGCGCCCCCTCCAGAAACACATATAGTTTGTCTTGGAGACCATTTGCGCGCCCCTCTGCGAGTGGCGCCCGGTGCTTGATGCACCCCTCACTACGCCACTGCCCTTGGATGCCCCCAAATTTATACCCTTTAATTTTCTTTACCACTGAGGCGCCCCTTAGGACTTAGCGCCTGGATCGGCTGCTCTTTTCGCCCTATGGTAGGGCCGGCTCTGCGTTTCAATTTTANCTGGATCTGCCAAACAACGAGCGACGACGTTGCATCAGAACAAAAAGCCTCATCGGATAGCGATAGGTAGCATAAACGAAAGACGCTACCAAATGACGTCGAAACACCAAACACATTCCAAAAGAACGATTATATTTTATTAATAGATTGGTTTAAAAATTCTATGTATGGAACTCCATACAACTTATGCTACCGTAGAGGACATTCGGCAGAAAAACACTCAACAGCTCCAGAACTATTGAGTCTGCCGAACACAGACTGAACAGTTGCAAAGACAGATTACCAACCATCACAGCCTGAAGGTGTAAACTAAGAATATTAAATTACTAGTTTCATCTTGTTTTTAATGCAATATTCTTGTTCATCTACTGTAAATATGTAAACTCAGTTAAACTGATTTATAGTTTTAATTAAAGCTTGAAAGATTTTATTATTATTATTATTATAAGAAAATATAAAAGCAAATACTTTATTAAACAAATAATAAATAAATATATTTAAGTAAAGCAATGTGCTAACTCAATGCTTTACACACATTCATTGATTAACATGGAGAAGAAAATGTCAGAAAAATCTTACATTTCTTTTCTTTTTCTACTTATCCTTAGCGGGAAATTTCGATAATATTTATCTAATTCTCGAAAAATATTCTAGCGGATATATTAAATAAATAGGAAAAACGAATTAAATAATAAATAAATAAAACGGGCTTCGTCTCACGCTTTGTGTGTTTATAGAAAGAAACAACTCCGACCTCTGGTGTTGAAAATGTCAGAAAAATCTTACATTTCTTTTCTTTTTCTACTTATCCTTAGCGGGAAATTTCGATAATATTTATCTAATTCTCGAAAAATATTCTAGCGGATATATTAAATAAATAGGAAAAACGAATTAAATAATAAATAAATAAAACGGGCTTCGTCTCACGCTTTGTGTGTTTATAGAAAGAAACAACTCCGACCTCTGGTGTTGAAAATTGTCAGTTCGTCTGCCACAAACATTTTTTTAATTAAAAATAATTATTTTTGTGAAAATTATTTAATCTTAATATTTTAATTGAAAATATGTTACAATTTATGGTATTTTGTATAATTGACGAATTTTTGTTCGATTCAAAAAGTGGGATAATGATCTACACATTCTACGATATCGGGTGGATGGCCGAGCAGTCAAGGTGACAGCCTACCGCTCTGGGGATCCGGAATCGAATTCGAAAAATCCCCAGAAATTTTTCGTCCGGATATGTTGGGCCCCGACCATCACCCGACCGCCTCACTATGGGCCTGAACGAACCCATAATGGGTTTGCTAAAAGAAGCCCTCTTAGCAGTGCCGGCCCGAGATAAGTTTTAGGATGGAGCAAGATCCTATTATGGCGCCTCCCTTGGTTGCCCTTAATTTATACCCTTTAATTTTCTTTACCACTGAGGCGCTCCCTAGGTCTTAGCATCTGGAGCGGCTGCTCCGTTCGCCCGATGATAGGGCCGGCTCTGCCTCTTAGTGCCCACAGGGCGGAAAGAGTTAAGAATAAATAAAAGCGGGTTTATAAATTCTGAGATCCGTTCGTATACAATATATAAAAAATACATTTATAATGCATCCACAGAGATGGCAGAAATGAAATTAATTACATGAAATAAGTAAATATATACGTAAAAGAAACATATAAATATATAACATCTTTATTTCGTATATGGACTTCATTTAATTACTTTGACAATTTACAGAACATTTTTCATTACAACAAACTTTCAGTTTAAAATCATTTTTTCGGAGGTCCCTCAAGTTTATTATAAGATAAATATAAAATCTATAAAAATCCACCCGAACAAATGTTTTACGTTTAAAAAAGAGGACATATCCGGGAAAAGAACATATACACAGTGGCGGAATTACAATGGCTCAAAATCATTCGACCGAACCAGACCCGAACGTATCAAGCAAAAAGCCTATGTACGATCAATGATCAAAATAATTGTTTCGATCAAAGGTTCGGATGATTCTTTTTCAGTCAAGGGCTAAAGGCTTTTTCGGAGGGGGGTGTAAGCCCAAGATCCTTTACGGTGAGATTGGGCCAGTATTAGAATTTCGAACTGTGACACATAAAACCTAGTTACAGTAACTTCATTGACTAATCCTGTATATATAAGAATGTAGTAAAGGATGTGGGTTATAAAATTATTAAAGAACTAGCTTACCAATCGCGCATTGCTGCGATCTCAGAAGAAAGGAAATTCAAGCAAACTCGTTATGATAAAATTAAATTTACATTTTATCACTTTCATTGAAACTTAATATTATTATTCATTTTCATCGGGAAAACATTTCAAAGTGTCGTTTCAACAGTGCCGGCCCGAGGCAAGTTTAAGGATGGAGCGAGATCCTATTATGGCCCCCTTGGTCAGTAGCGTAGCGAACATAACTGGCGCTCGGGGCACGACACTTTATTGGCGCCCCCTCCAGAAACACATATAGTTTGTCTTGGAGACCATTTGCGCGCCCCTCTGCGAGTGGCGCCCGGTGCTTGATGCACCCCTCACTACGCCACTGCCCTTGGATGCCCCCAAATTTATACCCTTTAATTTTCTTTACCACTGAGGCGCCCCTTAGGACTTAGCGCCTGGATCGGCTGCTCTTTTCGCCCTATGGTAGGGCCGGCTCTGCGTTTCAATTTTATTTATTTATTGGAGTGCTTTGTGGATACACGATATTTTTTGTTTTTCCGTCTGGTGTGTACACGAATAAATCAAAAGATTTTCCGACGCATGAGTTGGCCACATACAGTTGTCCCAAGGACAATATACTACAAGGATAGCCAGATCCCTATTCTACAATGTTAGCCAGGAATGGCAAGTTACTGACGTCACACGTGTCCAGACCTCTTTGTTTACCTAGAGCAGGGTGTGCACGTGTTTAGTTTTCGCTTTTAATATTCGTCCAATTTTGTGATTAACGAAGTGATTTATTTTAATATTTCTGTAATTGTTTTATTTGACTAAGTTTTTTTATAAGGTAAGATGATTAAATATAAGTCATTAA